GAATGTAAAAAATATTTATTAAATAAATACATTATGGATATGTTTGGTGTATAAGATTGTAATAAGATAAAATAAAATGACATTATTTATAGGATTAAATTAAATAATGTCATCATATTTTATGTTTGATGTATGCAAGGGTTAGGATAGGATAATTTATTTATTTGTCAAAATTATCCTTTCTTAAAGTTTATACAATTTAAATTATTAATATAGATTTTATGGGTATATTTAGACTTGTAAGTTTAATCTTATGGATTAAAAATAATCCTCTCCACTGGGAGAATATTGAATCATCTTATGCTAAGAGAATGATTAATCATTCTTACAATCTTATCTCTTTGTTTAGATATAAACCAAATATGATATAAAATGATTATTACAAACCAAATATGATATAAAATGATTATTATCCTATCCTCTCTATTATTTTATGTGTCAAACATGACTGAAGGGATGAAAAAGCTTCTTATATGGAGGATTAAATTTTGCAACCCTTGATCCCAATTCTATTCCAAATAAATTTGTAATTATTGTATTGTATGTTTTTGAATTTAGTGAAAGTAGTATATTAAATGCAAAATTCATTACTTAAATAGTAATTTAACTACTTTAACCTGTGCATATAGACCTAAAAATAATTGATAATTGCATTATTTTCTGTAATAAATTCAACCGCATGGCATTTTTGTTGATAACTTGACATGATAATATAAATTTTTGGACAATATTGCATACCTTAATAAAAAAAATTTTTTTTTCAATAAAATACAAAAAATGTTTTTTTTTATAATTTTTAAAAAGTTATTATTTAATTACAATAAAATATCTATCTATCTTATAAATAAAAGTTAACTATGTGGTCTCCTTTGTTGACACCTATCTCATGGGATGAAGTTGATATTTTTAAATTCATAAGAGGTGAATTAGGCATGTTATGACTTTTAAGACTCGATTGTTGGGTTCTCATTCATTTTAACCACTTTAGTCATACTCCAAACCTAAGTTAATGGTTTTTGTTTGTGATGTATAATTCCTAATAATTATATTTAATTTTTTTCATATTAGTATTTTTTGTTAATTTAAAATCAAGGAGCTTAGTAAGTATATTACATAAATAAATAAAAATAAGAACTATAATAATGATAAAAAAATATTGTTAAAAAATCCTCCATTGTTGAAAAAAAATCTATTCATTTGGATTAAAAAAAATTAGAAAATGGTAAATTGAAATATTCATTTGATTGTAAGTTATTTCAATGGAATGACTTGGGATTCATTTTGCTTAAACATGTATATATTTGTAAGTTATATATATTGTTAAAATAAATTTGTAAAAAATATAATATCCAAGTAAACTTTCAATTTAGCTAAAAAAATAAAATCAAATTTATGTTTTTTATTACATTAAATTAAAATCATAACATTAGATTATATAAATACATATTTAATCCATTAGCAACGAAATATGTACCCATGCTACTATTCTTTTACAAATATATACCACAAAGCAAAAAGATTTGTCCATCTCCAAGTCATCTCTGATATGCAACGTTATCTAAGATGAAGACAAAATTTTAATATTGTTACCAATTGTGCTTAAATTGATTTTTAATTAAAGTTTGTAAGGATTAAATTCATTAAAAATAGGATAAATAGATTAAAGCTGAAAATTAAGATAGTAAAATGACTGAAATCAAACTTTAACTTAATATTTAAAAGAAATGTATTCATTTATGAAGCCACTTGATCTACACCTGCATGATTAAAGGATAACGTCATATCCCATTAAAGTATATTTAAAAATATTAATAAATTAATATTATAAAAGATACATGATAATTTTTAATTCCACTTTCTTTATTTTTACAAAAATAAAACTATTTATAAAGTTTGAAAATTGTATTTATTACGTCCATTTACTTGATCAATCTTAGTCAACATGATCGAACCTTCAAATTGCCTAGGGAATGCACACCAAAGTTGCTACATCATCAATGCCTAAAGAAATGGCTCACCATTCGCCAAGGGAAAGAGTTGCCTGACATTTCCACCGATATCCCATCAAGGCAACATATCAAAACTGAACACTTAACCTCCAACTTATCTAGGACTATTAAATATAGCCCGTGCCTGCTTAGGATGATTAAATGTGGCTTATAGTCATCCACGTGAATCCTCCTCAAGCTTCACATATACTTTCCATTGACTATTAACTATCTCAATTAAATCACCATCTCTTGTCTCATAATAAGATAAGGATGAGTCCAGGTACGTAAAACAATACACATACTCCACATTTAAAAATTTTCCCTCCATTGAAGCTTTCTTAATACACCTCACCATTTTCCTTGCTTTTCCTCATGTATTCCACTACTTTAAGTTAAAGAGTGCTTCTTAAAAACCAACTCTGGCATCCCTTATTGTGCTTTTTAGTTACAGGTTTAAGCTATACAACCTTTAACAACATCATACAAACTTTCTCTAACAAACACTATGTTTGGATTGAAATGAAGGAAAGAAAAGGAAAATAAATGAAAATAAAAAAAGTAAGGGAAATAGAAAAACCATTTTTTTGTTTGAATAAACTTTTAATTTAAAAGAAAGAAAAGAGGTAGAAACTTAATAACTTTTGATTTCTCTTATAATCTTAATTTTTTTTAATATCTCAATTTAGGGGAAAAGCTAAGGAAAGGAAAGTTCAAAAAAATTTATTTTTATAAAAAGACAATTATATCTATATTTTATTATGACATTAGATTTGATTATATAATTAACACTTTCTACAAAATAATTTCTTTTTTTGAGTATTTTATGCAATATCACAGTTTATAAATATTTTATGATTTTTTAATTCTTAATAACAAAATAAGCCAATTATTGTCAGAATAAATTAAAAGATTGAATTAAACACAAAATTAAGAGTAAATAAATAACTAGCTAATATATCTTATCATATTAAACATGCTCAATTTTGTTTAAAAAGATTTATTTATACAAGCTAGGTAGTATAAAGATATATTTGTATATTATATGTTACTTTATAAAAAATGTTATAATTGAAAAATATTATAATAAATTATTTCTTTTCCTTTTCACTATTTTCCAAATAATAGTTATCAGAATTTTTTTTCTTTCTTTTATTAATTTTAACTATCTAATAGGAATACATATACTATTTTTTTCCTTTAAAATTTTTTTTATTTTATTTTATTAATATCTATCCAAATATAGCATAAAACATCAAAAATACTATCAACAGTATTGATGATATATAGGAAATAATATTCCATATATAAATATCTTTTTAGTTAAAGACTAAACTACATTTACTTTTACTCCTATTTAAAAATTTGAAATTACAAATATTTAATTTTTTTATTGTCATAAAATGATATAATATATGATTGCAATTTGATATTGTATTTTAAGGATCTTAGTTCAGATTCTTAAATATAAATAAGTAAAGTTACATGACAAAAAAGGTATTGTTCTAATTACATAACTCAAGGATTAAAAGGGTTATAATTAATTTTTTTATTTAATAAGATGAGAATATATAGTGAAGTTCGAACTTTCTTCTTACATTTAGAAATTTGTTTTGTCATTATATAAAAAAAATTGAAAACCAACTAATTATTAATTAGATGAAATATATGTTGATTAAATTTTTAAAATTTTATGAATTTAATAAATTGAGACATAATGTTTTCTAGTCGAGTTTAAATAAGTAAGAATAGAGAATTAAATGTGAATCAAGAGTTAAAAAAATATTAAAAAACTTAACGTAAGCCGCTAAAAATTTAAATGAAACGTTGTTAATTACAAAATTAAATTCAGAGTTACTTTACCTAACCAAAATCAATGTATGGTAAAAAAGAACAAATCCAACATAAACTAATAAAAATAGTTGGCCACCAAAAAGTCTAGTTCCAGACTTCCAGTTGCCAAATCAGACGGTCTTATAGCCATTTCTAAACAATGTCGTTTACTAAAACGTGAACATTTCACAAGCACTTTTACTGGCAATTACCGGTAAACTTAACCCATCCCCTTTTTTGTTCTCACATAGAAGCGAGAAAAACACGGTTATAGTACGCCTATTATTACAATAAGTTTTTGTTTTTATTTTTTTTTAAAGTCTTTTTCTTCTCATTTTATAAATATCATATCCCCATGATCTTCTAAATTTTCTTTGCCTCTTCTTCCTCTTATTTTCTCTCTTTATCTTTTTGACCATTTTTTGGCGAAATCGTCGGTCGTTATTCTCTCTTGGGGTTGCCGGAGAATTCACTTTCTCTGACATTTTTGCTTTCTTAAGGGTTTGCCTTTTTATTTATATAAAGCTTTTTCTTTCTTTTTCGGTGTTTGGGTGTTTGGATTAATTTGTTTGATGTCTTAGCTTGAGTTTCAGATCTGGGTTTTCTTTTTTTAGCTGGCTTGATTTCTATTATTTCTTTGTTTCCTTTTTGTTACACTCTGTGGTTTTTCTTGGTATGTATCTTGATCTATTCCCTTTTTTTTTATCTTGATTAATTTTTTCTTATAACCAAATATAATGGAGTAAATTTCTTAAAAATTTATAAAATAAATATATTTTTAAAAAACTTGCAAATAGAAAATTACATATATATATATATATAAATATAATGATGATGATTGATGTTGGTTGTTGGAAAATTTTGTCTTATCCTTCAACCATCTTGGTAATGTATGAGTAAAAGTTTTGGTTTTAAATTTATTTTTGTTTTCTTCTCCTTTACTAAAAGGAAAAGGGTAGTTGAATGGATAACAAGGCAAGGCTTTAATTTCATCAGCTTTATAAGTAGTCTTAGCATTTCAGTTCCTATATTAAGCATGTTTATTTGATATTCTGGGGTTTATGCTTGTTGTTATACAAAATATTTGGGGCTATAATTCTTTGTTTTTTTTTTTTTTGAACTATAGATCTGTTCTTTCTGAAACTTGAAACTTTTGTTTTTATGCATTAAGACAAAGAAATGTATGGGACTAAAGAGGTGGAACATAGAAATGTGTACTCAACTTGCTTAATCTCCAAAATGGATGATTATGATCTCTCGTGCCTCCTTGATAAGCCAAGGCTTAACATAGAGAGGCAAAGATCATTTGATGAGAGGTCAATCAGTGAGCTCTCTATTGGTCTCATAAGAAGGGGTTATGACAATTATGACCACGTACTTCCCCGATGGGAGGTCAGGTTTTGGTACTCCGACTTCATCAGGTAGGAAACTCTTTGAGCTGCACCCCATGGTGCTGAAGCATAGGAAGCTCTCAGGAGGTCTTTGGTGTATTTTCGAGGCCAACCGGTTGGTACCATTGCCGCGTATGACCATGCATCTGAGGAAGTTTTGAACTATGATCAGGTAAAGTTCTCATCTCATAGTATGAAGTAGGACCCTTTTTGGTGATAATGAAATTATTATTGCATATGTGTAAATTATAAACTATGACATTGACATTTATTATTGATTATGATCATGTGTTGAGCATCAACCTATAATTAATTGGTGATGGATGGAAAGCTTGAACCAGAATACAAGGACTAGCAAACTCTGAACTTAATTGAATGTGGGCAAACATCATTTAATACTAAATGTGGCTAACATCATTTAATTAATACTAAATACTTGATCCAAGTTGGAGAACTTTGATTGGTGAAACTTCAAGCCAAACCTGAACGAATTTTTATATGAATAGAGAATACTGATTGTCAAGAAAAATGACATGGGTGTAGTCCGAACACAGACATGACATCGACGTGGCGAATATGTGTCAGATGTCCTTGGACACACAAACAAACAAAAAAAAAAGAAAATAGAACCACGACCACGGAAAGGAAGAACGGCAAGGGCAACACGATGGAAAAGTTTTTTTTTGCTAAATTTTCTAAGAAGTGAGAATTGAAAGTCATCGAGAAAATAAATCAGAAGTATAAAACCAAACAAGGATATAATTTCATATCTAGATTGAAGCATCACCTTTTAATTGTTGAAGGTTGAGGAAGATGAAAGATGGAGGAGATGATAAGCCATAAACTGAAGACTGTTAAATTTGTTGAAGGTTAAAGAGATGAATGAAGAGAGGAGATGTCAAAGTCAAAAGGGAAGATTTGGAGAAATATCCAGGCATAGAGATATTCAATTTCTTCTTTATCTGTTGGTCATTTTTTGCTCTTGAGTTGTTAGTTTAGTTATAATATGATTTCTTTACTTATTATATTGGGCCATGAATGAAGAATGGACCCATTAAGAAAGGGCTTTTTATTTGGGCAGAAATATATGGATATGAAACTTATTTTAGATCATATGTTTATATTGCATATTTTAATATAAGAAATATATAAAATATTTTTTAATTACCGTGTGTCCGTGTCCTACCATACATCATATCTTTAGTCTTTTTAAAAATTACCGTGTCCATGTGTTATGTACTGTTTTGCCTGTCAGTGCTTCGTAGCTGATTGTAAAAAGAGGTTTGGTAAGTTGTTTTACCGTGAAATCCATTACATCTGGTCAATTATGGCTCATGATTTGAAATTTCTGAGACTGCTTGATCATGTTGATAATTTGCTCAGGTTTTTGTTCGAAATTTGTAACCCAGTGCTCTGGCTTTTTCTGATGAATGGAGAGCCTAAAACTTTCTCTTGAAAACCTACATCTTCATAGAGGTGGGGGAAAAGAATAGATAGATTCAAGCTAGGCGAAGGTGCAATGCCAGCTAGCTTCAAAGTTCTTCACGAGCCTGTACGTAAATCGGACACAATTATTGCAGATTTTGGAGAGAGTGCCATTGGAAGAGTTGCTCGGTTGACTCTGGTTTGTGAGTGGATCATTCTGCTCCGTTCACATACAGATCTACTGGGGTTTTATCTCTAGCTGAGACACCTGAGTGTCAATAAGGGATGAGGTCATACTTACTCTGTGTCAATCGGAAGAATTTGATACATTTCCAGCCCTACTTTGCGCTGAAGGGTGCTCTAGATTGATCGAAGAATGGTAAGCTATTTCTTCTAGTACTTAATCTTTCTCTCTATTTTGTGCATGTGTGTGTGCTCACCTGCTTCTATACGTATGTTCCTTGCTTAATCTTATAGTTATTTTAATGTGAGACAAGCAAGCAAATGAGAAACTTAAAATATCAAACTCTATGAAAATTGGAATTTGGAATATACAGATGGATTATTAATGGAAAACATAATGGCAATAGTAATATATTATTACAAGCCTTAGTGACAGAATGGAGCAGATGACTTCAAGAAATCTCGGTCCTTGGTTTTAATTTAGTAGCATGCTGTTTCTACAAACATGATGTAGTTTAAAGTGATGGTTCAACTGCTGTAATTTATTTGTTTGTTTAGACCAACATACTATTGATTTTATAGCCAATCTCCTAATGGCTTGGGAAGTCATTCAACCAAATAAATTCCCAATTGGTATTAACAATTAGCTAGTTTATTGAATATTTTATATTTTGTAGGAACAAAATAAATATGCCTTAGGATAAAATGTTTCAAATAATTACTTCAGATGTATTACTGATCTGTTCAATTTATCCTCAATCGAAGAGACGATTTGGTGTTATGTTTAGATATTTGTCTGAAAAATTAAAACATTGGGTTTTAATATTATTAGATTGTCTTGACTTTCACTATATTGCTCAATACCAATCGATAACACTATTATCTTGACTTCTATTCGAAACTATATATATTCGTTATGCCCGAATTTTATTTTGCTTCATCTTTCTCTTCAAATTGTATTATTGTCGAACTTCAATTTTTATTGTTAAAATAACAATAAGGAATTGAAAAATTAATCACTAGACAACAAATAGGACATGTGAAAGGAACTGGATCCAATCTAGACCCAGACTAATCTTTTTATGATCAATTTCATTATAGATGAGGCAGATGGACTAAGGGGATTTTTTTGAAGATACTTCGTTTTTATTCCTCTCTACTGTTAAAAAAAAATTAGAGATGATTTTTGAATGACCCAAGAAGAAAAAATAAAGAAAAAATTATGATCGAAATTGTCATCAAAATCCATAGTAATCTAAATACTAACCATAATGAAACAATTAAGTTTTTTTTCCTAGTTACATTAGTCGCTAATTAATCCAATCCAAGTGACTAGGCAAAACCGTCCACCTTCTTTTCAGACTATATGTGGGCTTATGCATAGATTTAAAAAATCTATGCTTTAGTGTATTTTTCTCATCTTGTTGTCCTTTTTGAAGTCTTGATAGCCAATTGGAAATCGTTAGTAAAATACAATAAAATATTCTCTCCAATCATGTAAAACTGTTCAAAAACTACAACCCAAGAGCCAAAAATAAAATAAAGATAAAATGTTATCATATGCATTAGTATTAGCTCTAAAAAATTTCCTCCTAAAAAAGGTAATTAACATATATAAGCACCAATTAATCATTCTCTAATTATGCAGGGATTAAATTCAATAACGATGCTCAACAGGAGTGAAATTGTCAGAGTCGCGAAACCAATCATAATTTCCCCCAACCATTAACTGCTGTAAGAACTGTGCCTTGTTCAATTCCTGATCAGCAACATATTGCCATAAACAAGTAGATTTTTGAATGCTCAGCTCCTCCACTCTAGCCTCTGCGTTTTTTCTCAAGTCATTAAGCGCCATCGCATATTCCAGCAGTTCCACCAGACCCATGTTCTCAATCGGCTGATCCAACCAAAACCCACCACTAATATCTTCTTTAACTTCTTTCTGCTTTATCCATGAATAATTACCCTGACCAGATGACTCGGCTAGATATCGATCAAGAACTGCTTCTACATTATCGTTGGTGTATACTCTTCTAGATTTTGATAATGTGAGGATACCAACTTCTGCCCCGCACAATGTGGAAAGCTCTTTAGCTTTATTGAACAACCCTCTTCTACGTTTGGAGAAAGTGACTTGACGTTTGCTTTCGTCTTCCAGTTTCTTGATTTCAATTCGTTGACGACCTCGGCTGCTTCTTGTTTTCTTCGCCTCTGTTGCGTTTGACATTAATACATTATCCTCCATGGTGAGAAAACAGAAAATCAGCCAAGGACACCAAAATTTGTACAGCACTTCTATGCGTCTTTAGTGGTTGATAAACAAAGACTGAGCGCATGGGTTTATTTATACAGGTTTAACCAAGTAATAACCTAACTTGCATAACAAGAAATAATTTAGCTATGTGACCGACTTGCCACTTTAATTTCCTTTTAAAGATATTGAGTGAGATTATTTTTTTTTAGAAAAATTATAAAGATCAGTTACCCTATACATTTATATTTTATGAATAGAAAAGATTTACGAATTTGATTGTTCTTTCAAATCTTTATATTTTATTTTACTCTTTAAAAAAAGTTTCATGTATTTATTAACAAACAAAAAGCTTTAATTTTTAAAAAGAAATCATTTGCTCAACTTATGAAAAAATTATGAATTTTAAAAATTGTTTAACTTATGCAGGAAGCATATTTTGAGCTTTGAGAGGAATGGTAAGCTATTTTTCTAATCTTAATCTTTCTCCTTTATTTTGTGCATATGTGTACTCACCTGCTTTATATCGTAAGTTTCCTTGCATTTATGTTATTTTAATGTGAGACATGCAAAGCATTTGAGAAACTTAAAATATCGAACTTTATGAAAATTGGAAATTTGGTATAAGATGGATTATTAATGGAACAAATAATGGCCAATAGTAATTATTATTACGCTTTGTGACAGAGAATGGAGCAGCATGACCTTTAGAAATCTCGGTCTCGTTTTAATTTAGTAGTATTGTGTTTCTACAAATATGATGTGATTTATATTGATGGTTCAACTGATGTAAATTTATATGTTTGTTTAGACCAACTTACTATTGATTTTATAGCCAATCTCCTAATGGCTTGGGAAGTCATTCAAGCAAATAAATTCAATTTTTTTCATATCATTAATATTATATGAATATTTGTGTGAATCGTCATAGTTTACCAACAATACATTGTACGCCTCAATTGCTTTTTTGGCCTTGCGTAACTGTATAGAGTAACGTTTTATCTGGTACAAATAAATAGTTCTGGGAGAATCTTATTAGATATAATCTGATTTTTAATAATTCTGACTTCTAAGAACCAAATCCTTGCTGTACTGACATAAATGAGTTCTTCGGCTTTGGGCCATGTCTATTTCTATTAACTTTGTATGAAAAGCTATAAGCGTTCCATCTTGAGTTTTTACCCGTAGGATCATCTTGAGCATATGGCCCACCATCTGGTGGGACCATAGGTGGCTAATGACAGACAAAGTATGGTCCACTTCAGCTTTTCCATCTCCACCATAAAGTAGAACCAAATATATCAATACCGTATTGTTGCTAAGAAATTGTAGGATCTAGTTAGTTTGTGTTTGTCCTTTTTTACTTTCATGGATATGATACTAATATCCCAAGTAAAAATTGATCGAAGATCTCAAAAGTGCTGTAATATTCCCGTATAATAAAGTTTTGAATGACATTTCATGGCAGATGTGGGATGACCAGTGGAAAAGGAGCTACAGATAAATAATTTTAATAGTTTGTGTAGCATTGTTTGCTAGGCTGTCACATGATAGAATAGACAAGAACAATGTGGCTTAGATGGTGGCGGTGATACAACTTCTGATTCTCGTTAGTTTATTATTCTAAGTCCAATTATATGTTTTAGAAATGAAACGATTTAAGAAAATGGTTCTTTTGGTTGACCGATCCATATATGATTGTAAGTGAAATATTAGTGAAGGTCTTCCTTCGTCCTCATCTTGGTTAGTTCTAAGGAAATATTTGTTAATAGACTCATTTTTAATGTTTGAGACAAACATGTTCTTTATGTGATTCTATAATGATGACACGACTTATGGGGTATTGTATGTTTTAGCCAAATGGGTTTCTCAGTTTTTGTCCACAAAAAGTGGCTTGTAAGTATTGTTACACTTACGTCTCTATATATTTTCTGTAGATCCTTACAAATTTCTAACACGGAATTGAAGGTGTTACATATTCATCAAGGACATGATTCGTATCTGAATTAGGAATCATATCTGCCTATTGATTGTCAATTTAGGCAAGCACTTTTTTATTATTCTATTAATGTGGTTGCATTCATGCTTCCCTATAAATCTTTTTAGCTATCCTTTTCTCTATTTTTTCATTTAAAAATGGATCTTTCTGCATTCTTCAAAATTTTCTTCTTACTTGATGACTTATGCTGATGAAATACTTAAGAAGTTAATTTGCGTTATGCACTTTATATAGACACATCATTTTGTCCGAAAATATTTTTTCGAAATTAAGCTTCAATCGTAATTGAAAGATTTTTTAGATTTAATTCCAGAATCAATTGGCATTAAAAATGATGTGGAGAGATTGTCGAAATTTAATTCTATAATCAATTCACATTAAATTGATAGGGAGAGATTTTGGAATTTGATTTCAGAATCAATTTTCATTAAAACGAAAATAAAATAAAATCAAAGATTTAAGGGAAATTGATTGAGTATGAATTCCTATATAAATCTGTGATCAAAGCAAATGGGGATAGAGAGAAAAAGAGATTATGTAGAAACTCTTGAGAGAAAAGAGAAAATTTTGTTTAGTAACTAAGAGGTTTTAGGTTCTGGATTTGATTTGTTTCGATTTTCTAGAATTGAGATTTGGTGTTTTTGAGTTTGAATTTCTGTAAGCTTCTGTATTTTAGGGATTCTTGGTTTTAGCTTTCTAGATAATTTGTTGGGTTTTTGAAAATTCTCTATCAGCTTTTGAGATTTATTTGTTAATTTCTGAAAATTAGTTAGAGAGAAGACAGAAGAATAATCATTTTACAAAGAGAGGCATACTCAAATACTTTTGAAGAAAAGCTTGAAATTTGAGGCATCTAAATCTATGTGTTTTACCATGACCCGATCGTAGGTATTTTCTTCCTATTTTCACTCCATTTTCTGTTTTGACTTTATTTTTCTTATTTTATTTATGTTATTTTGTTTATTTTTATTTACTCTTATTATTTCTTATTTTAAATTGAAAAAAATACATTACTTATTATTGTGATTTTTTTTCTTTATGAGTTTCATTTTACTTATTTACAAAAAAAGTAAAAATAAAAAATCTTTTCAAATAAATTCATGAATCATTCCAAACTATTGGAGAATTTTTATGGATTTGAATTTTACAAAATCCACCAAACTATTGAGAAATTTCATAAAATCAGTTTAAAAAAAATAAAAAATATTTTCATCCTCCAAGCGATTGAAGGATTACTTTTTAAATTAAGTCTTACCAAACTATTAGGAGACTTAATAAGATTGACAAAATTTTTACAAATCTTTTTACAATAAAATCTCACCAAACTATTGAGAGATCTGTCTCAAAATAAGTCTACTAAACTATTAGGAGATTTTACTAATTTTTTTGAATAAAAGTACATTAATAAATTTGACGACGAAGCCTTTTCAAAGTGGGACACTAGTCTCCATGAATACTCATGAGGTAAGAGAATTATCTTAAATTGCTACCAAACTATTGGAATAATTTTAAGATATATTTTTAATATTAAATTATCTGGTAAATCATAAATATGATCAAAGCTTGGATAATCTAAAATCCAACTGGTACAATCTTTTGGATGGGCGTTGTGGGAGTGCTATAACCTTCCATACGTGTAACCATACTCTCGAACCTAAACTCTGGTTTCCTAGATCAAAATCTACTATTTAAAGATACCTAACACTACAGCAAAATGGCGTATTAGCAGTAGTTTTGTAGTGGCCTTTCACTTACAAATGTCGCTAGCTTCCGTGTTTTTATAAAACTTCAAGTGTTTATTATCCAAACGCCACTAAATATTCAAATAGTAGTGTCATTACTTATAAATGCCATCCAAGACTTGATATTAGAGGCGTTTCTCGACTAAAACACCTTGAATATTTTTTATTAAAAGTTTCAATGAATAGTTAAGGCGTATTTTTGATAGACAACGCCTTCAATAATCACGTCATAAAAAATTATATAAGATTAATGAAGGTGTTGTCTACAAGAAACGCCTTTAATATGTAGACAAAAAATTTTTGACTTATGAAATTTATTTTCTTCAAAAATTCATTCAATATTAAGCTTATCAAATCCTTTGGATCGTACAATGTTTACCATAAGGTTGTTAGTTCGATTCGTCCTTTAGCCTTTTTTTTGGGTCTAGGCACAGATTATTTGTTATTGATTATTCTAGGCATTTTCTTGGCACAAACGCATTCACCAATTACTTTAAAAAAATTTTCATAGAATATTGAAGGCGTTTTTCATGGAGAGACACCCTTAATAGTCGATAAGAAAAATATGGAGTCAATTTTTGAAGGCATTTTTGGTCCAACTCGCCTTCTATAATCCAATCAATAAATTTTTTTTTTGGATTTTTAAAGGCGATTTTGTAAGAAACGCCTTCAATATTTCATAGACAAAACTTGGATGGGATGGTTGAAGGCATTTTTGGCTCAAAACGCTTTTAATATGCCCAACGATAAATTTTAATGATCGGATTATTGAAGGCGGCTATATCCAAAAACACTTTCATAAATATTTTGTTGGGATTATCGAAGGCATTACTCGTAGGAAAACGCCCTTCATAATCCATTCGATTAATTTTTAGTTGGTATTATTGAAAGCGTTTTTTGCCTAAAATGCCTTTAATATTTCAGACAATAATTTTCTAGGGGGATTATTGAAGGCGATTTTGGTAAAAAATGCCTTCAATTTTTCTATTAGGGGTGATTGAAGGCGTTTTCTTGCTAAAAATGCCTTCATTAATCGCATCAAAAAAACATAATTGATACTTTATATGTGAAGTCAGTTGTAGGTTTATGCCCAAAAAAATGTTTGCTGTTAGTTGTATATTTATGCCTAGAAAATATTTGGTTTATATATTTGATACTATGAATTACATTTTGGATTTTGCATAATGAACATTGTTGTATTTCAAAAAATTGACCACACATCCGAAATTAAAACTGATAACGTTGCCATATTA